AGTGATATTATAAAAATGGAAATATACCCATATCAATATAATTTGCTTTCAATTTGATAGTCGAATAATTGGCATTTCAATATCAATTTGAGTATGACTAATTTTTCGAAGTGGGTTGAAGATCGTCGAGAAATATTGAAAAGTTATCTACTCAGTATACATAATTTTCCCCAAGTAGAGTTTTTCATTGAAACTACAGGCCATTGAAGTGTATCACAAGGGCGAGATACTCAGTACACAATATTTCAATTTGCCTACAAGAAAAATGCTTTCAATTTGGAGTATTTGTTCTTGTCACTACCTTGGATTATTTGTAAACATAGTTGCCGAAAATGACGTCAGTAAATGAGAGTTCACGAATCACGAAACGAAAACGACAAACCGTCGTTTCTTCTAATGAATTATTGGCAAGTTGTAAATTTTGAAGCAGCAAATAAAATTATACGAATCGAATAAATACATATACACCGTGTCCAAGATGAACAGGATACGAAGACGTCCTCATCTTGGACATACTGTATACGCAATACAATATATCACCGATATAACTAAAGTGAATAGTGCGATAGATTAAAAATACAAAATTCTACCCAAATTGAAAGAATCTCCGATACATTTCCAATTTATCGTAAAAACACTAAAACTTCCTGTAGTTCCTCAACAAATCTTATACTTGGGAGGAATATAAACAAATAAGTCCCTAAAATTCCTTGAAGAACTTTCAACCACTTCCACTTTTTCGAAAAAAAAATGAACACCCTGTAACAAGGGTTCTGTCTTCACATATCAGGTATCCGTTGACGACTAACGATTCTGAAATAACAAATAATGTTCATAAGTGAGTGAGATGACTCATTGTGGTAAAAGAGTATGACAAAGATGGTGAATGAGGAAGGGATGGAACCTAATTGATATACTTGTATATAGTACTGTAAAATGCCATCTTCTAAGACTCAAATGATTATCTTTCATATTCCTTTTTTTACTATAATCTAGTTCTATTTCGAATCTATTTTGAAAACAAAAAGAGTGATTTAGGAAGGTGACCTGTTCCACGTTGAAAACGTTGACTTTTCACGTCCATCACATAACATTTCGTGGTTGGAATGTTTCATTCAGCAGTTATAGAATGTTTTCGAATAGACTTGTATAACTGAATTTTTCTCTGTGTATGATGCGAAAAGATCATTGTCCATCTGCGTCCATCCTGTCAATCTATATTTATATAAATATCATACCGATTCTAACATTTCACACTCGTTATTCCAGAATCTGTCCATCGAAGAGGGATCTGGCACGTTCAATCAGCATCAGATACCACAGGATACTGATGCAAATTCAAGAAGTTTCGAGCAAATTCGGAACAAATTCACGATATTTCGCCATCTAACCCCTGCAGTTATTCATTCTCTTTCTCTCTCAATTTGTCGCCATCACAGTGATCACCAGACAATACATCTATAAAAATCTTGATGTTATTCTAATGAAAAACGTGTTCGCCTTTATATTACGTTCTCTATGGCGGACCCTGTGAATGAAAAAAGAAATAGAGAAGCTTTCCGTGATGGAACCACATGACTTTCTCCATTCTGCGTGTGAATAAAAACACTTCCACGTCTTCAAAAAACCGCAAGTAAAATAACGAATCAATGACAATGTTTAGGGGTTTCCTTTATTGTTTGGGCTGGCAAGACTGTTATTGTGTTCGAACGTCCTTCTACCACAAAGTATGGGATAATTATAGTTATTCGTGGTGGAGAAAACGGAAAAGTTCATATGGCCGGTAAGTATGTGCGTTTCTGTGTAATTGCAGGGGATGATGGGAATGGTAAGTTGAACTTTTCAACAAACCATATGGACAACCAGCGGAGAGACATTGAAAATATATTTTAGAGCAAAAACATCGATACTGATGAAGATTATTTGCCAAGTCAAAAGTACACTATCTTTCGTTTTGATTAATTGCATTAAAATAGAATAGAATAGAATTTATTTAGTATTAGGAACAGAACATTACATTATGTTTAATACAAGTCGAATACATACAGTAGAATACAAATAATTATAAAAATCAAGAAGCGTCTGAGAGATGTACATAATTTCCTTATCTTCCCTTATTGTGACAAAGGGATATAATTGCTTCATTGATATCCTCTATTTTATAAGGTTTTATTGTGACTAATATAGATTTCATTGTTTTTTTGAAACTAGTGAAGGTTTTGATTTGTTTGATATCATTTGGGAGCATATTATAGAACCTTAAGCACTGATAATAACAACCTTTCTCAAAAAGGGATGTCTTATGTAGTGGAAATGAGAATGTTTCTTTCCGTCTCATATTGTGAAAATGATTATGTAAGAAATCATTGAATATATGTTTGTTTTTGTATACAAAATTGACACATTCAAGGATATATGCACCAGGCAATGTCAAAAGATTGAGTTTTTTAAAATAGCCACCGCAAGATTCTGAAGTAGTTAGCCAGAATACGAATTGACCTTTTTTGAATCACAAATACTTCTTGACTATGTGAACCACCCCAAAAGATTATACCATAACACATGATTGAATAGAAATGTCCAAAGTAAGCTGCCTTGAGAGCATCGTGATCTACAACTGTCCTTTGTGCTTTCAGAGCATAACTAGCCTTATACTGAGTCTACCACACAGCAGTGATACATGGTCTACCCATCCCATATGTTTATCAATGGTCACGCCAAGAAATTTCGCAGAGTTGGCATATGAAATAGCACTATCATTCAAATTTATGTTTTCTGGAAAAATCTGTGAGTTTCTGCTGTGTCTAAAGAGGATGCAATTTGTTTTAGTGATGTTCAATAGTAGAGAGTTCTCATGAAACCAGTTGGAGACTTGAGAAGTAACTTCTACAGTTTTTCGACTTAATTCTTCAAAACACTTGTCAGCAATCAGAATGTTTGTGTCATCTGCATAATTTGTTAATTTCATAGAAGGAAACTCGACAACATTACCTAGATCATTTACATATAGGATAAACAATAAGGGACCAAGCACACTGCCCTGTGGCACTCCTATAGAAATGGTTTGTGTACCTGAAAAATGATCTGTTGCACCATCTTTGATACATACTTTCTGCGTTCTATTACTAAGATAAGAAGAAAACCAATCATGTGCTGTTCCACGGATACCCATCTTGAATAATTTCCTGGGAAGTGTGGCATGGTTCACACAGTCGAAAGCCTTTGATAAGTCTAGGAAAACACCATGTGCAACATATCCATTATCTAGGAAATGCAATATTCTTTCTGTGAAAGCAAAAATGGCAGTAATAGTAGATTTCCCTTTTTGAAAACCGTGTTGGATATCTGATACAATATTGTTTGATACCAAAAATGGAACCAGTCGTCTATACTCATCATGATTTCAAATAATTTTGAGAAACTAGATGAGATACTAATTGGCCTATGATTTTCAACTATATAGGTAAGGGTCTCCTTTTTTGAATAGCGGCCTTACAATTGCGATTTTCAACCTGGAAGGTTGACTAGAAAAAGTATTCACATTGTTATAGCTATGTCCTACAAGGGCAATATTCAATTCACCTACTGATGACAGTAATGAATGTTAAGACTAGTTAAGAGGTGTAGAATGAGTAATAAACCTGAACAGCAAATAAAGGCTTGTAAACATTCAACTTGACAGTGATCATAGCTGCATATTTATGTAAATGTAAATGGTGTCCTACCAATGTACTAAGAAGAGATATATGAAATACGCGCGAAAATTTAAAATATATTTTCCTACGACCACCTATAAAAACAGCACAAAACACATTGACTTGTTATTGGAAAAGTGACTCTTTTCACTATGACAACATATAACAGTTAGAAAGTTCGAAAGCAAAACTCACATGGGTGGAAATATTCGAAAATCGCACAGTAACAGGGTCTATAGATTATAATGTACCAATGAATGATTATTATGCTGAATTATGGTAAGTTGAGTTATGGTCAAGTTAATGGAAAGTTAGTATCGATTTAACATAAGTTATTGTCGTCAATGTTGACGTAATGTTAAGTTGATGAAAAGTTGAAATCAAGTTAATTTCAATTGAAAGTTGAATTAATGTCAATGTATTGGCAATTTAGTTATTAATGTGAAGTTGATGTCAATTTGATATTTAGTTGATGTTAATTTGATTTTAAGGTAATGTCAAGGTGAATTCGAGTTAATGTTGATTCAATGTTGAATAATTATTGAGTTAATGTTGAGTTGATGTGAAGTCAATGTTAGGTTAATGTTGAGTTGATGTTGAGTTAATGTTGAGTCAATTTCAAGTTAATGTTGAGAAACTGTCAAATGTATGTTAAGTTTATGTTAAGTGGATGTTAAGTTGATGTTAAGTTAATGTTGAGTTGATGTTAAGTTGATATTAAACCATTGATGTCATCTGAATATTGAAGTAAAATTAAATAATAATGATAATGATGTCACCTTCATGTGATCGAATATGATCAGAAACATGATCCTTATTACTCTGGTCTCATAAACACTCATGACATATAATATAAATATATATGGTCGTAGGAAAAATAGTGTACAAAACTTGTTGGAAAGTGCACTTCCTGCGCTCGTTTCGTTTCCGCACTCGCCGCTCTGCGGCTCGTGCTAAACGACCACTCGCGCGAAATATGTCACTTTCCACACTTGTTATGTAATATACTATTCCGATCGAAATGTTGATAACAAAACAGTAAGAGGTTTCGAAATATTTCTGAATTATACGTTATCTGAAATTGAATATGCGAAATAACTGGAAACTGATGAAAATAATAATTGATTTCGATGATTAGTGAAATTAGTTACAATGTGTTAGTTAGGATTGTCAGCTACATGAGCACATCTCAATATGATCAATAATATAACTGATCATCATCGCAGTACCATTAGGCCGGTTCACAAATTTTCAACTGAGTGTTGCCTTCATATATGATCTAGGCAAACAACAATATTTTCTCACCTTCTGATATCAGTCTTTCTCGTATTTCCCAGGCAAATATCGTCGGGTTTTCTCTTTTGTATTGCTCTATTTTTGAAACTACGGCAGGTGTCGCTACTTTGGGTTTGCTTCCACCGATGAGTCCGGGCGGCCTGAGGGTACCTGAAAGAAAAAAGTATATACTCTCACACAAAATTAACAAAAATTCAGTGACAGATCACTCAGATCAGTACGTTATTTGTTTCTTGAGATATTTTTTGAGAACTCGGACGATTCAAAATACGTTCATCTGAATGAGAAGATATTACAGAATTTGAAAAAAAAAATGCATGTATTTGTACCCCCTCAATATTTTGAACCCGTCGACCGATATACAAAAACAGAAATTCCATAATATAAAGTACTCAATGAGTTTCATGCTAGAATATTAGTCCAGTCGGCAGGTAGTTTTAGCGATGAAAAATTCAGAAGTTAATGAAATTTTAGTATGTTGTTTGTACATGTTTAGTGATGCCAAATCCAAGTTTTCGACCTCGAGGAGGTTGTGGAAAATTTTTGGCGGCCAAAAAACCTCGAAATATTCGGACTTGTTTAAGTTTTTCACCTATAACTCGACAACGGTCAATCCTACGGGAAAAAATACGGTATACTAAATTAAAGAAGACAAAATTTCCTGTCGACTCACGAAATAAAAACTGGAATCGGAGCTGTAATAAAGTTTTCACGAGCGATCAAAGTATGGTGATTATTTCCAATTTTGGTAAAAACTGCCGTCACCCCCATTTTCAAAGTGCCGTATCTTTACAAAATTACTTTTTTTTTCAACCTCCCTCCTTAGAGTTTGTAGAGTATCAATCAGAGAGTTCAAAATGCGCTAACATTTTGAAATCAGCTCAATTTCTGAAATTGTTGGGACTGTTTTTAAAAAATTAGCGTTTCTCGAAAATAGCTACCTATCAGGTGCGTTTTTTTGGTTTCCCACTGGTGGCAGTAGAATTGACGACCAATAAAACGATGTGAATCATTTTGAGAGTTTTGTGACATTCTGCTGATCATTTTTTGGTTATATAATGATAATATAATTTCGGGATCTTGCTGTTCATCCCTAAATAATTATAATTTATAATAGATGATGTTGTTCCCGCTTTCTTGTTATCCTCCTTTGCATCGCGGTATTACAAGGCAAAATACATTGATATTTATCGATGAAGTTGACCCCATAACACTTGAAAGGATTTTATACTTGTTTGAGTCTTTATCAAGATTTATCAACATTCAAAAGTCATTTCAGGAGTCCAGTAGTGTTTGAAAGTATTCTGGGTGGATGTGCGAACAATTCCAAAATATTTCCTGAGGCGAGTTCACTTTTAGGCAATTTTTAAGTCTGATTTTGAGGTTAGAGTTTCTGAAATACCGCCATTTCATACACTCCCTCCACAATCTTCTTCCTGCCATTCCGTATGGGAAGACGGAATGAAAAGTTGGAACCAGTGTCAGAATTTCGTTCAATAAAACGACAAGAGTGGTCATTCCGGTGAAAGAATCTTGCCAATAAAACGCACCTATTGATTCTATGCTTTTTACTTGGGGTAAATGATCCCAATGACCCATGACCACCTTGTGATTCTGTCTCAATTTTATTGATACCTAGGAAAATAATAATGGTTGACGGAGAACAATGTCATACCCAATAGATAATAAATGTAATTATGTGAAAAAATATATTTACGAAGAATTCATTAGTAGGTATAGCATAAAAACATATACATATCTACACACTATATAATACATAATGTATCTGCATCAGTCTTCATATCGAGTCTTCGAAGGTTCTGTTCTGCGAGAAAAAAGGCAACAATGAAATATTTCATGTAAAAAATAAGAACGCTAATGAATAATAATGAATGGAGATACATACATTGATTGAGTCGAGACCCTTTTGGCTGAGGTTCGACGTCGTCGTCCTCAAGTTCGTGCTCCTCTTGGGCGATGAGATCTTCCAGGAGGTCGTCGTCCTCCTCTTCGTCGTCCTCATTGAGTTCTGGCACGCGCGAGTTCTCGCAGGCGTGGCCGGAGCAGTGCTTGCAAATAACTGAGCACCGCAGGCCTGCCTTCTTGCAACTACAGGCCGCGGTGCTGCAGCCTCTGGCACACTTGCAGGCAAGAATCTTCAGGAGAGACTCAGGGGCTGCATTCTTCGTAGTGGTGATAGGTACCACTCCTTGCTTGGTTAGGGACCACCCCCAATCTGCAGGGATCTTGTTGTTTCCTAACCAAGTTTGTACCTGCTGGTATGTACGGAAGGAATGATACCTACCAGCATCACTAGTAGGTGGAAGCCTGGCAAGTTGAAATTTGGCATTTGACACCGACTTGGTGAATATTTTGTATCGCAGTCCATCAAGGTTTTCTCGCTCGGGGTCTCCTCCATACATTTTCACCAGAAATTTTTCGCCCGCTTCACAAATTTCTGATGCAGTGGCATCTGGTTTGGTGAAAATCAAAACGTTGGGCGTAAGGAAGGGATTCCTCGCGTACGTGCTGCAAACCTTCTTCTTTCCCAAACCAATGGGTGCGGAAGTAGTGTCGCATCCACTTATGGCATGGAGAAAGAGAATTTCTTCGGAATGGAATTTACACGATGTAGCGGAGTACATGACGCTGGGGACGTTCCCTTTTCTGGAACCAGATGTTCTTAGCCGAAGACCCTAAGGCTGCTTGGTGAATATACCTACCTACGCTCATATTTTGATGTTTTTTTCTTAAACTGTATGATTTTGAAACAAATAAATCTATCTCTATCTATCTATCTATCTATGTTTGAATGAATGCAAAGTTACGTAATCATAAGCCCCAAAAAATGCAGACAATAAACCTTAAAAAATACAACTATCTCAGGAGATATACATGAAGAAAACTAAAAGAATGTGACCCATTATTTAGTTATTAACAACTTTATTCAATGGACAGTAATTCAACATAATCATTGGTACTTCTAATGACCTACGTCATACAGAATGACAATATCAAATTGATTTTCTGACGTATATCTCCTAAAATAAGCGGTTTTTTCTTTATTTATTAACTGCATTTTGTTGGACTTCTGTTTACACAACTTTGCCTCCCTTTGAACTTTGTTTTATCTCTGACGGTTTCCATATCCATATAACAGAATTAGTAACAGCTTGTGTAAGGATAATAAATTCTCAAGATTTATTTCTACCTAAATACAGTATGTTTCACTAAAAAGTTATTCTTCATAAAAATTTTTGCATATTCTATAATCTGAAATACAATCATCAGATATAAAAATTATTCAGTCATATACGCGGTGTGTCAAAAAATGTGAATTGTACCCAAGAGTAAAGTACCTTTATATTTGGCTCACCGTGTATTAGACTGAAAAAAAATGATATCGGATGATTGTATTTCAGATTTTAGGACATACAGAACTTTTTGGGAGGAATAATTTTTTTTCTGAGATGAATAATAAAAAAGATGCAGCACTTTGAAAATGGGGTTATAGCAGGTTTTACCAAAATTCGAAATAATCACCATATTTCGATCGCTCGTGAAAACTCTACTACTTCTCCGATTTCAGTTTTTTTTTCGTGAGTCAACGGGGAATTTTGTCTTCTTTAATTTAGTATACCATGTTTTTTCCCGTAGGATTGACCGTTGTCGAGTTATAGGTGAAAAACTGAAACAAGTCCGAAAATTTCGAGGTTTTTTGACCGCCAAAAATTTTCCACAACCTCCTCGAGGTCGAAAACTTGGATTTGACATCACTTAACATGTACAAATAACATACTTAAATTTCATCAACTTCTGAATTTTTCATCGTGACACCCCTTTTTCACGACCTGCCGACTGGGCTATATGAACAGATCTGAAATATTCAGATTTTCAAGGACTAATGTTATTGTTTGTTGAATGAGTCAAAATTTCAAAAACGACTATTGTTTTTTTCTTGAAGAAGTGGATAGCCTATTCGATTCTGCATAGCTGAGATACCCGTTCACAAAATTTGGACGAGATACCTCACATAGGGTGTTAGTTATTCAAATGATAATTTCAAATAAAATAAATATAAGAAGCTCAAAGTCATTTCTACACAGTGTTCATAAAATGAACAACATTGGTAGATTTCGGGAGAAAAACAACTACTTCCCTCGCTGATGCCACGCAGGATATTGAATTACATCCTCCCGAAATCTATACATCGACTCGTATAAACGACTACTGATACAAGTGATTTTTTCCTGAATGCATATCGATTTCGATTAAGCCAGGCCGCTAGACAACCACAGACCGGTTTCGAGCTCGTTGACTCTCATCAGCGCAGTGTAGTCTCCAGCCAGCAGTCCTAAGACCGCCTACTCAGCGAAGCCTAGCCAAAAAAAATCAAGTTGGCATTATATCCACCCCGATACGTCTTTCATCGACAAAATGAAAGTAACGCCATCTGAGTAGAACCGAGGAAAGAATCACTCCAAAACTGAAATTTCCATACGGGAGTGACTGGTAGCCCGACTGACGTGATTTCAACTACGAAATAGCCACAATGCTCACAGTGGAATGAAATGTTAATAAATGTAAAAAGCTCAAAGTCATTTCCACAGAGTGTTCATAAAATGAACAGCAATGGTAGATTTCGGGAGAAAAACAACTACTTCCCTGGCTAATGCCACGCAGGATATTGAATTACATCCTCCCGAAATCTATGTATCGACTCGTATAAACGAATACTGATACACGTGATTTTTTCCTGAATGCCTATTGATTTCGATTAAGCCAGGCCGCTATAGACAACCACAGACCGGTTTCGAGCTCTTTGACTCTCACCAGTGCAGTGTAGTCTCCAGCCAGCAGTCCTAAGACCGCCGACTCAGCGAAGCCTAGCCAAACAAAAATCAAGTTGACATTATATCCACCATATTTTTGTTTCTTCACTTCACCCTGTATCATAATAAAAGGAGTTGACATTAACAATCAAATGGTCATTCAGTTGGAGAACGACTCGAATACATAAATACAAAGTTCTTTCTATACAAGAAGCTGTCTCTAGGTCAACCATTTCAATTCCATTTTCATATTCAATGAGAAAAGCACGGAGTAATCTCCATGATTTTTCAAATTAAAAACATCAAATAAGAAACATGTTTCAGCCTATGCTAAGAAGTCATGGAATTGAGAAGGTTACATTTTTCAAAATTATTGATAAAAAAAGAGTTTCTCAAGGGGTGTCAACCCCCAAACATGGGAAGACGAATTGAAAACTATAGTTGGTTAATTATTCGTTAATCGTCCCTCGAAATTTGTCTTTCCATGTTTGGGGGTTGGTTTCCCTTGAAAAAAATCTCTTTTCATCATTAATTCATAAAGAATGTGACATAACCTTCTCATTTTTATGCATGACTTCTTAGCATAGGCTGAAGATGGACATTGCATTTGTCCAAAACATACTCCTATAATTTGATGTTTTTGAATTAGAAAGTCGTGGAGATGACTGATGCTTTTCTCATTGAATATGAGCCCTATCACACCACTTTGAACTATAATGGACTCCTACCCAGCGAGCACAAACATCCCTGGGATGTTTTGGGATGTTTTGAAAATGTTGGCATGAAGATGTTATTTTGAGACGTGATATGCACTTCCCAAAGAGGTCTTAGAAGGATATTGAAAGTACTGTTTTTGTTCTTTTGTGCCCTTTCTTTGTTTGCCCCACCACAACGTCTCATGCTTACGTCACAATACGATGAATTCTGATTTGTTTTCGATTTTGTTCTTCTTGTTCGCAATTGGCATTCGCGTTTGCAGCGTGTCACGCTTACATCACGCTGCTAACGAACATAAAGGAATTTGGTGAAGTTTTTTGTGTTAGAAGACTTATTTAGTTTGTAATAATGACCATCAGATGCAAGATGTGTTGTACGGTGCCTCAGTGTAATCAATATATAAAGGTGCGAATATATCAATACACAGCTTCTCCGCAGTTGCGAAATTATGCATTGTGGAGAACATTTCAAAAATTGGGAAACCTATTTCCAATTATATGTCTGTGTGTAGTAAGCACTACTCAGAAACCGATCAAGAAGGTAATTTCATATCGAGAAAATATTTTTATGTTCAATCTATTCTCAATGCATTTTTTCATTGAAGGGAAATGGAATCCTAATGCAGAAGTTTATTTTGACAAAAGGCTTCAGAAAAGTACCTCGAAAATGTTTTTTTACAGCTATTTAATGTGCGCAAGACGCGTTGAAAATGTCTTGTTGTGTCCATGAAAAGGCTTTAAAAAGAACCAGAGAGAAGGTAGTTTTGTGACATATCAAGGTCATCTCGATAATCGCCGCCTGCGGCGGACATTGGCTGTTCTATAATAGTTCTATTCATGTGTGAACAGAACATCGCAGTGGAGGTTCAATGACTCGAAATCTCGTACTTTTAACATCTCTGAGATGTTTTTGTGCTCGCTGGGTACCAACGTTACCATTTATTCAATTAAAAGGTCTAGGTCGACCAATAATCAATAAAACTAAAGATAGAATTAGAAAACACGAAATCACCTCCACAACGTTTGATAATCGAGGATCAGTCAGTGATCATGTTCAGTCGAACCAAAGCCCATAATTGGAAAATACCGAAAAATTTTCTGCCATAAAACTGCTAATTATGCGCGCATAAGGGCACAGGGCCCTTTACAATAACCAGACCCAATAATCGGTGCTTCGCACAAATTTCAATCAATTATTTGATCATGATGTCTTTTTCGTTTCCACGTGAGTAAATTCTTAATCTCCTAAATCTTGTATGATTATTTTCTATTGTATTATTTGGTTTGTTGAGATTATTGGCTTATGATGGACACATGACACATGACACATGACACATGATGACTGTCCGAAACATGTTTCCTGAATAATCTTCGATAAGTAAACGTGATGAAGATGATTTTGTGTATTGAACTACCCATTATATTTTTCTAAAATTTGGTATGGAGCTTAAACTTGGGACGTTGAATGCATTCACCTATCGGGCGAAGTGAAAATCTAGGTTCGGCTTCAGGAAAAATTTACATTTATTCGAAATATTAAAATAACACACTGTATGTAATAATTGACAAAGTTCATCAGAGGAATCGTGAAGAGGAGGAAAAACTGAACTGGATTTGATGCTTTTTGTTTTCCCGCCACCAATTCTCATCGTAACAATCATAAACAGGAAGCTAAAAGTATGTCAATTTCAAGAGAATTAAAATTATGAAACCAGTTTCAATTATGATTATTTGATATATTCTTGTTAAATGATGGTTCGAAAGAACTTACTTAGTCTCACAGTCTTTATAACAGAGATACAGGGTGAATTATCACTCGTCCATAAGTATTAATAAACTTTACCCATCGCAGTAATATTTTCTCAAATTTGGTATTGAGCTTACTTGTGACGATGGATTCATTGACCTATCAGGCAGAATGGAAATTCAGGTTCAGCTTCAGGAAAAGTCTCATAGTCTTTATAACAGAGATACAGGGTGAATTATCGAATTATAATTCCGCCTGATAGGTTAATGAATCCATCGTCCCAAGTAAGCTACATACCATATTTGAGAAAATGTTAGTGGGTAGTTTTATACTTATGGACGAGTGAATAA